CTAACATTTGAAATCTGACTTCCAGTTCTCAACCTTTTTCTGTATGATACTTTCAGGTACTTGAAAACTGCTATTATGTCTCAACCTACTCATATTTTCTGTGGACTAATGATCAGTTTCTTCAGACACTCCTTGTTAGACTTAATTTCTAGCAGACTGAACATGCTTGTTACCTATACAGGTAGTCCATGACTTAGAACCATTTGTTTAGTGATTGAAGTTACAATGGCACTGAAAAAGTGACTTATGACCAGTTTTCACACTTATGAACATTGCAGAATCCCCATGGTCACATGATCAAAATTCGTGTACTTGGCAATTGGCATGTATTTACGACAATTGTACTGTCCCTGGGTCACGTGATCCCCATTTGTAATCGTCCCAGCCAGCTTCCAACAAGCAAAGTCAATGAGGGAAGTCTGATTCGCTTAATGACCACATCATTCACTTAACTCTGGCAAAAAGTCATAAAGTAGGAGGAAACTCAACAATTACCTTGCTTAGCAAAACACATTTGGTCATAAGTCAAAGACTATCTGAATCTTTCTTAAAATATGTTTAATGGGTTGAATTGAACTTAATATTTGAAATAGCGTTTAACCAATTCTAAATATATTATATTTGGAAATAATATTTTTACTGCTACAGACTGTATTATATCAATACATTTTCATTTTTAGCAATGTTACCAAACTGCCAACTCAAGTTCATTTTATGATTCAGTTTATTATTCCCAATATTCTTTTTACATGTGCTAAACCAACACAGATACACCTATCTTATATTAATGTATATTATTTCTTTCCCCCATGTCCATAATTATTTTTGGAGGTTTCCTATAGTTTCCATTCATTTATCTAACCTATCAAGATTATAGAAATGGGATCTGAAGCTCAAAACAAAATAAATGAGGTGGAATTTTAAAAAGATCTTGGGAACACAGAGGAGACAGACAATTCAGGGAAGAAACAGCCATTACAGAAGAGAGATCATAGGGGAAAAAAGACTCAAGTAACTCTGCTTTAACCACATTCAGCATAAGTTTTTGAGAGAATTTGATAGGCTTTCAAGATTCTGTTACACTACCCTTGTCAGCATTCCAGAAAAACCCAAACTCCACGTAAAGATGCGGAAGCAAACATTTTTCCAAAGTTCTCTTTACTAGAATAGGCAAACTGGCACATCTGGGAAAACCCAAATCTGAAAAGCCCGGGTTTTCCTTCAGTAAATCAAAACTCCCAAAACCATCCCCTTTCCCCCCACTCAATCACATGCTCCAATCAATGTCCGTTCCATCTCGAGCCAGTCCCCTGACCACTCCTCCTCCAGATGCTGGATCACTCTGACCTTGACCGACAGGAAGAATGCTATTATGTCTGCTAACAACCCCTCTCCTTAATCCCCCCTCCTACTTTCCCACACATGAGAAGGTGGCAGCATTGAAGCTTCCGGCCTAATATGGCTTCCAAAGTTGATAACCCTATTATCAACAAGTGGTTCTTATTCCTGAATTTGCCAGATTTGGATCAAAAGAGATGGAATAAAAGGTTAGCAAGAAAGAGGATGAAAGGATTCCTTTTTAACTTTTAAGTACTGTAAATAAAAACAAAATAATCAGTGATGGAGGAAATAAAAATATAGGGATGTTCAAAACATGGCTTCTTAAAGGAACCTTTAGTAGAAGAATATACAAGAAAAGCTGCTAAGCAACCTATACAATGGTGATGGTTCCCATTTTGAATCAGCTTTGACTTAAAAAGGGCTGCAAATTTCATTAAAAAAACTGACAGTACTTGTACAGAAACAGTATTCCCTAGAAATAGGAAATTCGAGAAATAACCAAACAAAGTTCTCAAGAGAATAGATGGAATATTGAGAAGTTTGGTTTGGCAAGGAGAAAACATGATTCTGAAGCAACACAAATCCATTATCATCCTTTCTCAATCCACACAAAGAGTATTGAAAAAATTGCTCTTGCCATCTACATCTCTCCAGTTTGGATCCTCTAAGCTAAACGAAATAATTTGTTTATCTTCTCAATGCTATTGGTAGTATGAAGAGACAAATCTGGAAATAATTCTGATACAGCACAAACGCCTATGTAGAAGTGTCTGAAGATTGATTTGATTTTTTTAAAAAGCATGTAAAGCAGAGACTTAACACACCATACAGCTATGGTGGTTTAATTTTTCTTCTTGAAAAAAATTGAAAAGCAGGGTGAGAATATTTTAAATATATTTGAAAATATACTCCCAAGTTCATCCAGGTTTTAAATATATGTGTATTGTTTTCAAGTATCCAAAGAACTTCATATACATTACCTAGTTGTAATCCTTACAACAATCCTATAAAATCAGTATTACTTGTATTTTGCAGGGTTGTATGGGGAGTGATTTTAAGGCTGAGAGAGTGTTGCTTGCATAAGTAATTCATGGAAGACACTGACCTTTCTCATTTACTGCTGAACTACAACATATTGTATGTGTTTAATGCTTTAACCAAAATATTTTCTTAAAATCAAAAATTATCAAGTGAACAAGAAGTGGCACAATAGGAGACCACAGGACTTTTAAATTATCAGAAAATTTTAAAGACCCTTTCCCTATAAAGAATATTGCTATAATCAGGAAGATAAACCCATTTTGTTTACTATTTAAAAAGAACCTGGTCACTGTTGCTACTCAGTTAAGAATCAGGAGCTCTTGCAGACTCCAGATATTGCTCCTTAGAGAATAGAGTGAATTGCATTTTCTGCTTCCCCTAAATTGCTCATCATCTTCATTTATATAATGTTTGATTTATCTTTATTTTAATTATTAATCTTATCCAGCATCTCATACTGTTTAGGGAAAGTATTGCTTCTCTTGAATTTGATGGAAATTAAAAATGTATCTGCCTTTTGTCAGTGTTGATAATCTATACTTTAAACCAAGAAATGGTTTGACTCCACACTGTACTTTATGCCATAATGTAATTGGTTTGCTTTGGGCTTAGCATAACTAAGGGTTATAAACCCAGTTATTGGGATTTGTGAAATATCATTTATGGCATAATATGATGTTTGACCCAGTCAGTTGTAGTTTATATGATAGAGCAAGGATAAAGCCAGAATCAAATTGAACTATGATTTAATGCACTGTATGAATCAAGTTTCACCAATGGTTTATTAATGAAATTTTAAATTTATTAATTACAGGCAATAATCCAAATTAGATTCAATTACAGACTAGTGCTATGGCTGTGTTTTCGTGATGAACTTGTATGTAGTTGATTTAGCCATGTTATATGTTTTTAGCCTGATTTTTGGGATTTGCACATGTAATACACAGTATACTTGCACACATATGCTAAGGAATATGATGATTTAAGCCTCATGGCACTTACAAAAGAGTCTGTATATCCTCATACTATACTTTCCATGCTGCTTTTTGGTATTCTAGCCCCATACATTATTTCAGAGAAAATCTGTCACTAATTTTCAAGAACAGTTGCACCTTCTCGGGCTTTTCTCAATAATATACCCTAATGAGGAGCATGTTAAAGTCATGCTCCCTATTAGGGGAGCTAATTCAAGAAGTAGATTCAAGCCTTTTATTACGTATATCAAGGTCAGTGAATTATCGGTAGTGAAAGACAAAGTGAGGGAAAACAACAAATTTGGGGAAGTTGTGATTGCTTCAGTGCCACTAGGCTTCTGACTAAATTAAGCAGAAATTTGTCCAGCAGTCCACAGTTACCTTTGTTCCCCCTGCCCGCCCAGCAAAGTGGCAGGCAGTTCCGCAGGTCAGCTGATGGAGATGAGGAGTGATTCCCAATACTTCCTGCCAGCTTCCCAAATGAAAAGCCAATGGAAAATCTGGCAGAACGTTGCTCCTGATCCCACTGCTACACCCATGTGGCTGGTGGCCCAACAGGTAAGTGGCGATTGTGTACTTCAAAATTGAGGTTAAAATCTAAAATCTCTTAATAGCGATGTGTGGTGAGGGAAGGACAAGGGAGTGATTTGGATGTCTGCTGGCAAGGTAAGGCTATCTGGAGAGCACTGGTGGTTGATGGGTGAACCCTCTTTCTCCATGGAGGGAGGAGGCTTTTGGGACACACTGGGATGGGGAGTGTAGATGCAGTTTTTCTTGCAGTCTGCAGCTCTCTTTGTTCCCCTCAGCCAAGTGGCTGGCAGTTCTGTAGATCAGCCAAGGAGGAGGAAGAGTGATTTCTGACGCTCCCTGCCAGCTTTCTACAAGCAGCAGCAATGGCAAAGCCAGTTGGAAGTTATTCCCACACCCACTGCTTTTTTGCTCGCCCATTAGTCATTCCATTGTTTCCACTCCCAACCCCCAGCAAAGTGGCAGGCAGTTCCACAGGTCAGTTGAAGAAGAGGAGTGATTTCGGACACTTTTTGCCAGCTTTCCAAAAGCAAATCAATGGGGAAGCTGAAAGGAAGTTACTCTCACTCCCACTGCTGCATCGTCAGCTGGCAGCATTTGGCTGCTTTAGAACAGAGGCTGAACTCTGAAATCTCTTTAATGACACTGGATAGCAAGAGAAGGATGAAGGAGCAACTTGGATGCTTACTGGTAAGGTAGAGTTAGCTGGTGGGTGTCAATGGTCAATGGGTGAGCCCTCTTTCTCCCTGGAGAGAGGAACCTCTTGGGGTGCTCCGGGATGAGGAATGCAGATGCAGTTTTCCTCACTGATGTCGCTCACTCTCCAACTCCCCCACCCCCACTGATGGTCATTCTGTTTCTCTGTTTAGATATGGAAATATCTCAAATGTTTAGATACTCCCCTCTATCAAATGTTGCAGATTTTTATTCAACTGATTTAAAATGGCACTATATTCTGTCACACACATATTAAAACCTTATTCGTTTCTCTTCAGAAATATGTCCAGTTCAATGAGAATTAGTTCTGGGTAAGTGTGAATTCTATTTTGCCTCTCTAGATATTTCTCCGTCTCCATAATTCCTATTATGAAATGCAGTACAAATAACATCCACTAGTTTTAAAAATATATTTTAATTGCAAAAGAAAAAAAAAGTACAAAGTAAAATAGCTAAGGCAAAGCCATTCCCAACATAAGTCAATTTTAACAAGTTTCATAACTTTTTTCTACCTCTTAGAATATCTATAAATTTTAACATTTAACAAAGCATATATGAATAAGCATGAATTACAAGGATTTGTCCTTTAGTTTTATAATCCCTACTGTTCATTAAAATATCTTAATTAAACTTAATATACTTTGATTTTAAACATGCAGAACAAATTTTTTGGCATTGTACTTAGTCTTCGAAAGCTATGTAATATGCTCTAAAGCTATTTTAGAACAGTTTTCATGTTAAAATTGGAGAATTATGACAAATTATCTCCATCTATTATTTTTATTAATAGACTTAATACTGCTTGGAATAGTTTAGCTTGGTCTAAATCTTTTGCTCAATACTGCCTCTTAGTGGCAATCTCTCCCTCCCCTCCCCCATCGCCCAAGAAAATATGTGGTTGCTCTATTAAAAAATAAACCATGGATAAAACTTGATATCTATTATAATATACTTTTTTTAAAAATAAAACCAAGCAATCCCATTTCAATCAATGAAAAGCATTTTGCTCAATAAGAAAAGCTACTGTACATATTATTATTATTAACCAAATACTGCTTGAGCTCTTTACTGAAAGGAATATCTATGTAATGTACCTAACTGAACCATTTTAACCCCTTTCTTATGAGGTAGGTATTATTATTTCTGTCTTTAGGCAGAAAGATTAACCTACAGAATCTCATAAAAGCAAAAAACCCACTTTTTCATGCTATTGAATATAATATCTTAAGGTACCCTAGTAAAACAACATTTCTGTCAATATATGTTTTTGGCTTCAAGTGTAATAATGCTACTAACAATGGCCTCTGGTATTTGATAGGGTTTAAGACAACAAGATAATGTTGACAAATCTACACATTTGTCTTTAACATAAATAAAGGGATTTGGGGAGTGATAAAGGGATGCCTTTAAAATCAAAAGTTTAGAGCATCCCTGTAATAGGAACATTACAATAGAAATCACATTGCTAGTAAAATAAGTTGGGGACATCCAAGAGTTTTGAGAAATATAAGCAAATTGTACTTAAGAAAGTGTATTTGAATTCTCCCTAAAGCAATTTTCTTCAAATAAACTATATATTTCAAAATAGATTAGATGACTAATTATTAGAATACTTTTAAAAGTAAAAGCTATAAGAGGTTTGCAGGAGCTTGGTTCATCATGCAGGCCAAACTGAATTCAGTATACAGCAGTGTTCATTCCAGTTTGAACCATGCCAGTCACTTCTATTAAAAAAACAGTTGAAATTTGTTAACTCACTTTACCAGTGTTTTTTAAATAATAAATTAAGGTGTATTATCAATTTCTGCACCATATGCGAAACTGTTAAGTCAAAATGTGTGCAATCTGTTAGATACTTAGTGTTAAACTGTAAAACTATCATAAATACATTGAGACTACATCAAATATACTAGGGAAATGGGCACAGAACTAAATAGTTTCCCTAACAATTGGATGGTGTTAAAGGGCACATTTATGGAACACAAAATTCAAATTATAAGAGTTTGAAGAAAATGCATCCAAATCAAAATAATGTATATTAATATACTGTTATGTTTAGATGGTGAAACAGTTTTGGTTGGCATGGGAACAAAATATAACTGTTGTAAGCTTTCACATGCTTCAAGCAGAGAGGTGCTATGTTATTAAAAACATACTAAGTCCTGCCATAGTTCAAGAAAACAAAACATGTCAGGAAGCTAGGAGAAATCCCTTAAATCATCCGGCAAAGATTGGAAGCAACCCACATATTGACCCTTGGCTTCTAGTCTTGAGCTGCAGAGTACACTCTCCCTCACCCCCCCAAAAATAAACAGATTCTCCAAAGGAGTCCTTCACAATAATATGTGATGCGCTGTTGTATTTTGTTACTACCCCAGTGAAAACACCAAGGGAGCCCTAGATTTTAAGCATAGAGAGTTTTTGTTCACTGTCTTTCTCTATTTCAACAAGACTCTTTTATGGAAAAAGAAACAGTGGAAATACATGTAAGGAGTACAAGGGCAAGAAGTTTCTCTGGACTCCATAAAACTCATTGAAAGGATTGATTGAAGCCTTATTCAGAGGCAACTTTTTTCAAAAGCAGCCTTTGATAAATCTGCTATTCTTGTATAAACTATAGGCTGAGAGATCTATTATTAGATTATTTACATAAAATGGGTCCCGTATACTGTAGTTCTCCTATAACTGATTACCCCCTTTATTTTTAACATTCATTGGCTCATATTCAAAAGGAGCTAAAAATAAGAGCTTGATTTTTTCCCCCTCTGTGCTATAGAGAAAACTTTATTTGCTATACTTTTATTTGCTATTGCTTCAGAAATACATCTGAGGAGAATTTAATGCTTCCCCCCCCCCCCACAGCACCTAATAGCCAGGGTGGATCCTACATGTTAAATGCTAAATTTATTTGATCACTTTTTCCTCTTTTTTTGTACATTATTTTTTCTTCTTTTGTTATTGTTATTGTTGAATGTATGCTTTTGTTTTGTTTCATGTTTGTTTTTGTTTTGTATTGTACTTTTTATTAGAAGAATAAATATTTTTTAAAAAGTACTTTTTCTAGTTCTAGAATGCTTCTGATTATTTTTTATTTTTACAAATAACTAAAGGTGGCAAACATATCTAACACACCTTCTTCCTTCAATTTTCCCCACAATAACAATATTAGGAGGTGGGTTGGGCTGAAAGTGATTGATCCAAAGTCACCCAGTTGGCTTTCATGGCTAAAGCAGGACTTGATTATAACAAATAGAATATTTTTTAAATTGCAGATCTTTTATAACAGGTATGTTCAAGGCTGGCTATTAGCAATCATTGGAGGAAAAAACATTTTTAAAGTGCACACAGCACTGTTAAAAATAATAGTTCTATGATAATCATACCAGGATAAAATTTATTGTGCAAGAGACTAAACTCTAGGTGCAATAGACCAATAAGGTGCAATAGACTAAGTTTGAAACAAAATTTTCTTACAACTATATAGGATTTTATTGAAAAATATTTGGTAGTGTAAAAAAACGTACATCATAGTGGAATTTATCTTATGGGATAGATCTTTCCAAATGAATATTATATAAATTAATTAGTAATGGTTCTCCAGGCTTTCAGACTATGGCTTTCTTAAAAACTAGCTGGAATCTGCTGGATACTGAATTTGATTTTTTCCTCTATAATTGCTTTGAATCTTTCCCACACAGAAAATTAATAATCTACTTGGGGCTACGGGGCAAAACTTTCATAGACAATCATATTCTACATCAATAAACTAGATAAATACTAATATTGACTCTATTCACAGTTGTCTCATGGCATTTAAAAGGAATCCTGAAGCTCAACTCTACTTCAAACTTTTAGCATGCAAGTTAAAGTGTAAAGGATAAGTTAGACTGACTATAATGCTGCTACTACAGTATCATCATCACCATCTTCTACCCAGAATTCCCAAGATATGATATATATATATATATACAAAGATACACACACATAGAAAAAATAAACTCTTTTAGTGTATTTTTACAATGCACAATCATTAGTATTGTGTTATCAGAAAGAAGCTAAGCACTTAGGAATTGAACATTATAATCCCCAACTTGTTCAGTTTGCCCAAAGTATGCTCATATTCTATCACTTAAATTAAACTTTAAAAATGAATGCAAAAGATATCTTTCAGAGGAAATTGTGCTTAAACTGTTCCACAATCATATGAGAAATGGACAAAAATTTATCACTAATCCTTTCAGAACACAGAAAATTCCTTATACACATTGGCATTAAAATCTGCTGCAAAAGAATTTTCAAACAGCTATGTTCTAGTGGTGGTGAACCAGGTGCCTTTGAAAAGCATCCATTAAAAAACTAACCTGCAGGACTGAACAAAAAAGTGTTTTCATAAAAAATCTTCTCATTTGCAATTCACATATAAGATCACTTAAGGTGTGTTTGTTGTGGACTATCATATTTTCTCAGTTCCTGAACTGAATCATTTCATCATCAGGAACAATTGCTTATCCGCAATATTAAACTACAATATTCTCTTTGTTGTGTGTAATGTTAATGTATGCTGATTGGATGATTATACACCAGGTTTTTGTCAACTCTTGGAAACCACATAGATTTTTCCACGATGATCTGTCCTTTAACCTGCTCATTCAGGTCTTCCAATAATGCACCTATCACTATTGTAACTAAGTCCATCCATCTTGCTGCTGGTATCTTATTTCCTTCCATCTTTCACAGCATTTGCATCTTCTCTAGAGAACTAGGTCTTTCAATGATGCATTTGAAATAGAATAGTTTGAACCTATTCAGCTGTGCCTCAAGTGAGAACTATGGGTTGAATTGTTTCATAATCCATTTGTTTGTTTTTCTGGCTGTCCATAGTATTCTAACAAGTCTTATCCAACATAAAAGTTCAAAAGCAGCAATGCTCTTTTCTAGCCTGATTTCAAAGTACAATTTTCACTTCCAGAAAGTGTCACAGAAATACGATTGCCTGCACTATTCTGATCTTTGTAAGTATACACACATCTGAGTATCTTTTTCAAGGCCTTCACGGCTACTAAGTGTTAGTCTGTAGTATATTCCTTGATTGCTTGTTTCTTTACTGTTTGCCCTAAAAGACAGGAGCATTCTACCACTTCAATTATCTTCATTGTCACTTCTAAGCAGTTTGTATCTATTGTCACTATGGCATTATTTTATCACAGAATTATAAAATGAAAGCACCTCTGAATGAAAGTCCAATCTTCTACTCAGTGCTGGACTTCCCAAAACATTTTCAACAGGTGGCCATGCAGTCTTCATTTCAAGACCTTCACTGAAGGAGAACATACTGCCTCACAAGGGAGTCAATTTTATGCCACTAAGAACCATTTAAACAATTTATTGTAAATGCTTCCTTTATAAAATGGGTATTACCTGTTAGCGTAAATTTTTTTAAAGAACAAGATTCAAAAGAATGGGTAAGGTAAGGTATTACCTGCATCTTCTAGGATCTATCTTGTAAATGTTATTTTTACCTGTCGTTTATTCTTGGGAGAGTTTTGATTCATTTTGTCAATTGATTCTCATTTTCTACACATCAATTTAAAACGCATCAATCTGGTGGGGCTTTCCTATCGGCTATGAATTTTAGGTCATTCATTTCTTTTAAGTTTGGAAAACATACCAATTTCTCTTTTATGGAGGGGAATTGTTGCATTTATTAAGGCATTAATGATTTTTTAAGAAGAATTTAATAAAATTACAGAATTATTGTGTTATTCTGTTAAAAGAAAAAATTCCCATGAAGAACAACCATGAAAACGAATGGGCTATCTCTTTTCTCTATTATACTTTAAACCAAAGAAACATGAACTTGACACTAGATTTAAATAAACCCTTGAAAATTCCATATTCCAAAATTCCATTATCATCATTCAGTATTCTGTAATGCATATAAATATCTGTAGTGAGCTAGAAATAATCTAGAAAACTGACAGGTACTTCTGATACATCAAAAAACTGAACATTAGTATACAATTATGTTGTAAAACAAGAAAGAAACTGAACATAGCATCTAAATAAGAAGAGGAGGAATAATCCAAAATGGAAAAAAATCCTCAAGTATTTATTGATTGTTTTAAATTCTTTTTTTATATATAAATATGAAGCTTTTCACCTTTATCCAGTCTTTGTTGTTTCCTTACAGGTTCCGTGAATGTCTGCACAAATTCTATGCATACCCGAACAGTTAGGAAAATTATCACATTAGAGAAACAAATAATATATCTTGTATAATTATGATTTTGTTTCAGATGATGGTACTTCATCAAATAACATTATTGTTTCTTCAAATGTAAGAACTGAAGATTCTTGTGTTTAATAATGGTAGACTTTGAGGACAAATCTCCATTCTTATGCTGAAAGATGCGAAATAACTAAATTATCTGACTTTTCTTCAATTTCAGACATAGATAAGAGTTCATCTGTTTCATAATCATCTTCAAAGGAGCTACAAGAAATGAATAAAAAGATTAATACTAAAATGGTTTGACTCAATTTCTAATATTCAAATGACACTAATTTTAGAAAATATGAAGACAAATTAATATAAAATATAGCCCTATGAAACCTAAAGACAAAGCAAGTCTGAATTACTGAATAGGGTAAATACAGTTGAGTGTAAGTAAAGGATTCAGATGAAAATAGTTCAAAATAATTTATGTGATAATTTATCATAACATCCAATTGTAAATATTGTAAATGTTTTTGTAGCCATTTTCTTCACCACTTTGCCATTTTTTTCCTTATATTTTTTGTGCATGCCTTTACTTGCACATTTATAGTGACACAATATAAATTTTGCAAAATTAAGAAGGAAAATCCTTCCACTTCCCAAATGACTACTTTGGAAGGGATAGTCTGTTTGTTTGTTTGTTTGTTTGTTTATCAATCAAACTTTTTAACTGCCCATTTCCCTCGTAAGTATTGGGTTCAAAAGAGTACAGGAAGAGGCACACCGCTTTTGAAGGTAGTTTCTTTTTGCACCTGAGATAAACTAGCATCTGAGCTGAATGCTGCTTATTCATCTCACTTTTTCCACATATGTAAGTGATCTTAGAAGTGTATGCAAGTATTATTCCTTATTGGAATAGGATTTGAGAAGGAGAATATGCAGGTTCTCAAAACACAGATTATTATTTGGTCTCTAGAATAAACAAGTGTCTAATAGGAGTGCTGGAGGAGAAAAGTACATTTGGTTAATAACAGACAGGGTGCTTCCAAAATGACTACACTACTCTGAAATACTACCTATCTTCATTCAAGCTTACCAAAATTAGTCTGTAAATAGATGGATTAAGGCTGAGCTTCCTCATGATGAGCCAGTTTCTTTTTCCAGGATGTTTTTTCAACTTTCCAGTCTAGCATTAAATTAATAAGCAGATCAAACCATGTTTAGCATTTTGAAATCAGCCAAGGTAGGCAAGACTCTACCAAACACTCATAGTACCTAGCATTCCAGGTTTAATTAAAAACAGGACAGTCCTTTCTTCTAGTGTGGATTGAGGTCAGGGCCTCTAAAATATCAAAAGTCTTTTGACCTGAGCCTCTCATTTTATCTGTTTCTTTTTTAACTTCATCAGGATTTTGTTCTTATATTTCCATCCAATTGCAAACATCAAGACAAAATTATTTATTTTGGTCATAAGGTTGGTTCAAATTTCCCACTGCATTCAGAATAACTTTCGGGGACTCCTACTGACTCTGGAATGGTAAGGATTGCAGGTGTTTTGCAAGGCCTAAGGAATAGGGTTGTGAGGTTGAGTTTCTCTTTTCATCTTACTGCTTTAGAGACCTTTAATTAGCCATTTGATTTTGATTCTTAGTAACAAAATTTTCTCTGTTTTAACATGCTTTGTCATTTTAACTTTATTTCAAAACGCTACTAGTTTCAGCAATAAGTTTCAGCACTTGGAACAGCAACTTTAAGATTATTTTTCTCACCCTTCTTGTAACTGTACACTGCCAGACTCCTCAGCTACAAGAATTTCATATTCCTCAGCAGCATATCTGTCCCAATCAGAGGGTTCTGGACTTTCATTTTCAATATCCTAAATAAATGGATTAGTAAGAAACAGATAAAATCTAACAAGTCTTTTAAAGATTATGACATGCATAATTGTAAGTATCTACAATAAACAGTGTAATAAACTATTATACTATTTAAAGAAGAATCATACTTTTTTGTATAATTTTGTAATTATCTGTAAATGAAATATCCTGCAAATATTATGTTAAGTTATACAAAATAATTAAAAATTAACGATTGTGTTTGTATGTATCTGAACTTAGATAAGCCAATCCAGAGTGTCTTAATTCATTTAAGCTAAACAGTCAGTTCCATAGGTACAGGTAGTCCCTGGTAGTCAATTTGTTCAGTGACCAAAATTATGACGGTATTGAACAAGGGAGACCTATGATCTGTCCTTAGATTTCCAGTAGTTGTGGCATCCCCAGAGTTAAGTGATAATGATCTGTGTGCTTAATGCCAGGGTGGTGATTACATGGCAGTGAGTTGCAGTCATAGGATCACAATTTCCAAGGTTCCTTACTGGCTTTACATAAGGAGTTAACGGGGAAGCCATCATGAAGTTGGAAGTCACAGTCATGAGAAGACCTCAGTTAATAATGGCAACCAGGACTGATGTCATTAAGCACATGATGACTGATGTCACATAACATCACACTTTATGACCATCTTGCTTAGTGGCAACAATGCTGGTCACAATGTAAGTTGAAGGCTACCTGTTCAAGAAAATGCAAAGTATTGAAATTATTTATATTTAAAAATATTAAGGAAAAGAGATTTTAGATACTTCATTATTATATTTTTAAAAATTAGTTTAGTCATGATACAGAAGTTGTTTCAAAGATTTAATCTCTGACTTAAAGAAAAGGTTGCAGAGTATTTCTGACCTTGCTATCCTTTCAAATTGAAACAATTTTGAGAGTTTACATAACACATGAAAACATTATATTAGATATGCATACACCCACACAAACATACTGCTACCTTTTCACCAACATCATATGGCTCCTTAACCATATTAACTTGCCCAAAGCCAAAAGGTTATGGTTTCAGTCAACAGTAACTGAAATCCGAAACAAGATTTGAGCATTGGTTTAATATTAACATATATTAACAGAAAATGGTATTGCTTGGTTCTTATTCTACTTTTCACAACAGAAAACCCTCTCATTATGATTAATGATTACATATCATACTAACTGTTCATTACAGGAACCTATTCTAAGAAAAAGATATATTTTAATTTTATATTCAATGTTAAAATACACTCCAAAAAAGGGAAAAAATACAAGAACAAAGCAAAACTAAACAAGACATTTAAAAAGTGCAGAGAAAAAAAGTGTACACACACAGGTGTGGTTTTTTTCTACGCACTTTCTCTTTTAATGTCTTGTTAAGAGATCTAAATTTATTTATACATGTAATAAATAATTGATGTATATATGTATGCATGCATGGAACTGATATCCTGGCCTATACTTTAGGAGTTCAATGTGGTAGGTACATACTGTAAGACAGAGGAAACAAGATCTACATGTATTTCAGTAAGATATCTTGTAGTGCAGGTAAATACAGACTCTTGAAAATTAAAATGAATTTCCCAGTCTCTTATGTAGTTAAGAAATATAATAAGTCAGATTTCTCACCAATTGCACTGTTGCCATTTATGAAATAAGCTACCAATTCAATGTGTTCTATCCCCAATCTCTCATATCTAAAGTCACTAAGAAACTTAACGAGTGTGAGAGTTGAAGATGGAGCTAACAGTTTTTGGTCTATATATGGAAATTATGTAAATATATGATAGCTACTCAGTTTCAAGACCATCAAGCACTATTCCATGCATTTATACTACTGAGGGTATTTGTACCCTCACCGATGGCCAGCAGTGTTCGGTATGGTTCCATTCTTCATTATTGTTTGCAATAAAATTCTCCTCTAGCTGATTTGTCTGCAAAGTTTAGCCTTGGACAGAAGCTGAGTTGTGAAGCTTTGTGATTTACCACCTAGTCCTAGTAAGAGGAGGCTGACCATGAGGCATGACTGAAAGCAATAAAGATCAGACTCCAAAAGCCATTTCACAAACAATCCAAAAAGCTGCAATTGGAGCAATCAATGGTAGTTTCATCCCAAAGATTACTTTGAGAACAGACCTATCAATCGCTAAATTCACTACTTTCTCTTCCTCCATCCTACCTCTCTTCCACCAAGGAATTTAAGTGTTAAAATGAAATTTAATATCTGCCTTTTTGCAGTATGGTACAGCTCCAACGTATATATCAGAGCAAAACACTGCCAAGAATTTTAAATAAAGAGCATATTAGGGGCATCTATCTCACTTCCAGTTAATAAAAACTACCCCAAATTGTCACTAATGGCAATGGGCTCAGGCTTTACCAGTAATGAGATCAAGCAATCAGGTATAATAATTTCAGCTTAGTAAGAGGTGCAGAAATGTATGCTAGGGCACAGTGCAATGGCTAATTTGCCCTGGGTCATAAGAGTATAATGCAATGTGCACTTGCCTTAATGTTCATCTGCAGACATTGTCATGGAATTTATACTACTGGCCATACCTGTTCAATTATGTAAAAGTGTTCTTGTTACTTTTCTCTATAATGTTCTGGTTTTTCCTTTAAGTAATCATTACTTTGAAATAGAGCTGCTTTATACCTTTTGCACAGCAAAGGGATCCCGTTGTTCATTATCCAGATACTTTTCAAGGTTAAAGAAAGTATTATAAAATACATGAGCCATTCTACATCTCTTCAAATCTCGTAGAGTAATTCTTCCTGAAAAACCAGCATATTAACTATCAGCATATTAATTATCAGCATACTATCAAACCAACAGTTCTTAGTGGATTGGAATAAAAGAGCCCCTACTTCATGTATCCCATAACAGTGACTAAAGATTTGTCAAGGAGAGCAAGTAGTAAGAGCATATTTCAAAGCTGAATCACAGGTTCCTCAGTAGGCTTACTTCCAAAACAAATTGAGTTTGTGCATTCAGTTTGAATCAGTGGGCACCAGAAGTGGGTTTCAGCAGGTTCTGACTAGTTCTGGAGAACCAGTAGCGGAAAATTTGAGTAGTTCGGAGAACCGGTAAATACCACCTCTGACTGGCCCCGCCCCCATCTATTCTCTGCCTACCGAGTCCCAGCTGATCAGGAGGAAATGGGGATTTTGCAGTATCCACCAAGCCACACCCACCAAGCCACACTCACAGAACCGGTAGTAAAAAATTTTGAAACCCACCACTGGTGGGCATCAATCTGATCATATGAACTTGTCACAAGCCTTTTCCATTAATTTATGTAAAATGTCATTTTGTATAGATGCCAAGTAAATTGTCTGAGTTGTGTTTACAAACAAAGAAACTTCTTACCTGTAGTTTGAAACATAGCTACCGCTAGTAGAAAAAAACATTACACATCGGCTGTAACATTATTATTACAGGTATTTCTTGAGATATAACTGTAATGAGCCTGCCCATTATGATTGCATGTTATGGCAGCCATTAAGTGAAGCATCTCATTAATGATTTCCCCCATCCCTGCTCTCCCCAATGAATTGTTTAAACAAATATGCAGGTTGTTAAGTGGATTAGATGCAGGGTGGGTTCTACTTACCTTTACTACCGGTTTGCAGTATGGCCGAGCATGTGTGCTTGCTTTGCTCGTGTGGTGCGCGCAGGCACAGAAGCGTTTTGATGATGTCGGGGTTGGTGGGTGGAGCCTCCGCCGGTTTTACTACCGGTTCTGTAGAACCGGTGCGAACCAGGGACAACCCACCACTGATTAGGTGGTGCCTCAGGGGTGGGGGAGGGCCTTGGAGATCTAACATAGAAACTTATATTGGGGCACTGCTAATACCATAGTTTTTTCCAGGTAGATTGAATTGACCAGGATGATTTCAAATAACATGATTACTTGTTAGCACTGAGGACTTTTGTTTTGGATGAAGTTATTTATAGGATTAATTAAGAATGAATTTAGATACGTTAACAAAAAGAACTCAGTGCATTTTGTCATATGCCTTTCAAAAATGCCCATTTGGAGAGATTTACTATTGCTTTCAATGTGATGTGTGTTGTAATTAGCACTGTGTCTCATTTGTGAGTAAATGGATGATCACCTCACATTATAAATGACATATCTGTAGGGAGTTATTATCCCATTAAAAATAACATTCATAAATGCAGCTATTAGACACTTAATCATGACATCTACTTGTAGAGGGAGTTGCAAATGTCTGAATGACTTAACTAAATTCCATATTACATATTATGGTAGATCAGGATAATTTTTGTGATTTTCACATTAATCAGAGAACAAGTTGAAGATGCAAAGCAGTGATGTCAAACTCAAGGCCCGTGGATCCGGCCTGCAGGGTGCTTAGATCTGGCTCGCGGGGATGCCCTGGAAGTAATGAAGGACCGTCCTGTGGTGCTTCTGCCAGTGAAAATGGAGCTGAGAGCCACTCGCAGCCCCCCCCCAGCTCTGTTTTTGCTGCAGAGGGCTGCAGAAGGCCATCACAATTGAAAATGGAGCTCGGGGAAGCCACGCGCAGCCCCCGCCCCCCGAGCTCCATTTTTGCTGCCAGAAGGCTGGAGGCAGTTGCAGCCAAAAACAGATGTTGAGCTGGCCATGCCCACCCTGGCCATGCCCACTCGGCCCCCCCAGGGTCAAACACAACCCTGATGCGGCCCTCAATGAAATCGAGTTTGACATCCCTGCTGCAAAGACTAGCAAGCTAGTGTGAAAGCTACTTTGGGGCATATTTCTATAAAGACATAAAACACTTTAAAGCATCATAAGATCAAATTTACTTAAAAAACAAAACAGAGCAAAATGACCTGGAAGAAAAATTATCATATAATAGCTCTTACCCTCATATTCTGGTTTTACTAGATCAAGCATTTGGCACAATAGGTCATGGAAGGGCAACGGTTCAATGCCCATAGATTCCATCCTTTCACACTGTTCCTCATAAAAATACTCAAGTTCATACATTGATAGTGTGCCATCCCCATCTAAATCCATGCATCGGAACCAGTACTCAATACTACAAAACAAAGAGATGAATCAACATGCATTTTTATAATATGGCAGCAGGTAACAAAAGTTTGGGTGATGACTTTCATGTACATAGTACACAATAAAGCTTTGTCTGGACTTTCCCATATGACAGGTTGCACTGGAAATGGTATCTTGAAGTTCGGACGATGAGCTAAGATACATAATACTCTCAATTGTTCAGTAGAAAATTCTGTACTCTTTTTCTATCCTATCCTAAATCTGACTTTCAATATCTTTGAAAGAGTTTTTGGATGGAAAAAATTTATTTTTAGCAGCTTGATAAAAGCTTTATATGACAAAAACAACACACAGAGAATGAGAATACATAACTTGGAAGAAGGCTCTAGTAATAAAGATAATTTTTACAATACAAGACTCTGTTATAGGTAAATTATCTCCTCTTTAAAGCTCTTCTCATGTTAATTTTGTGGCTGGTAATCAGTGAAGCTGTAGGTGCATTCTGTGTTTCTTTTATCTTTGGACCAGTTCAAGAGCAAACTCACACAATGTACAATAAACTAATTAAGAAATTAGCCACATACAGAAAATAGTTATCACATACTGTTTATATTTTAGATATTTATTATACCTTGTGAGGCATCTCTTGTCTTCTTCCGAGATCAGAAACCACACAAAGTCTGCATAGCTCATCTGGTTTTCTTTTTGTTCTTGACTTCCTCTAAAATATATAAAAATACGTAGTTAATTTCTTAATTAAAAAATAACCAGAGGCAAATTTTTAAAAATCACAGAGCGATCTGAAAAAGAGAAAAGACAAAATTTCTATTCCTAAAATGTATTAAGGTTATCCATTACCTAATTCATGGAAAAGTAATGTTTTATTAAACTGAAGACAGATTTGGATTCTTATCCTAATATTACTAACACGACAACTTTGAAATCAGGATTCTGGGTTGACTTTTAGTGCAATAAATGCAATGAGAGGCGTTTACCACCAACTGTTCCCTAATTGAGGGAACAACTTTACTACTTACCTAAGAACAGCTCCAGTGAATATTCTTTCTATAATTCTGCTTGACAAAGCTGTAGATTAAAAAAACAAAAGCGTGAGGGGTAATTTGTAGGCTGATCGGGAGACAGCTATGTAAAAAATTACCTACCAAAAGCTCATATTTTATTGATAAAAGGACCTGACTGCTTGCTAGACCACAGAAAAACCATTCGAAAGGCATTACAAAAGCACCACCCAAAGGTCTTAGAAAACAAACAGATTCCTATGAAAAATAGTTCTGTTGATTCACTTCAATAAATTTTGTTTAGAAGGCTCTGCTTGAGAAACAGATTACTGTTTGAATTAACTAGAGCCTGACAAATAGTTAGGAATGTTTATCTCATTCATAAAAATAAGATATATGAAGACTAGTACACGCATACAACAACATCCAATTGTAATGCAAAGTTCAACATGAGCATTATCATTATACATTTTCCTAGATACAGGTAGTCCTCAAGCTACATCCAAAATGGAGCCTGTCAATTATCGTTGCAAGTGGTGACAACCATTAAGTGAGACAGTCTAGCTTAACAATTTACTCTCTCTGATGCTGTTAAATGAATGCACAGGTCATTAAGCATGCATGGGGTACCTCAGAGGTGGGGGGGAGACCTTGGGAGGGCCTCCACTCAGCTGGGTCCATAAAGCAGGCAGACAAGCAGCAAAAAGCTTTCCATAGCCAAAACCAATTCAATGGTGGGGAGGGAAGAAGGAAGGGGGAAAGGGCCTAGCTAGATTAAGGTCCAATGCCATGAGCCAATGCTGGAGAGGCTTCCAAACAAGCTTCTGTGCTTGGCTGATGAAGCCAAGTTGTGGGCTGGGCCTCTGCCCCAATCAGCTGGCTATCAAATAACTGCAAACCTCTTCTGGCTCTTGTTAGCTTTTGAGGAAGCCAAGAGAAGTTTGCAATCTCCTGACATCCAGCTGACTGGGGCAGAAAGCTCTGAAAGCAGCTGCCATTTCCACAAGGAAATATTTGAGTGTTGAAAATGATGGCTGCTTCCATGAGGTACGGGGAGCAGATCCAAGTGCTGTGGGGTACTATCATGGCAGGATGTTGTGGGAGAGATGCAGAGAGGCGAATGACCCAGGGGGCGCTGCAGCCATTGTAAATTTGAAACAGAGTTGTATGTAACTTTTGGGAGAGTCTGTCATAACTTCAAACAGCCGTTAAATGACTTGTTATATCTTGAGAACTACCTGTATACTATATATATTGGTGTGTCTTTACTACACATCAATTTATTATGATTATTTTAGGTTTGAATTCCTTTCAATCATTGTTTCAATCTTTTAATGCAATCATTCTTTTTAATATGTAGAAGAGCCATTAAGATAAATCCATACAGCATGTCACTAATTTGAAATGTTCAGTCAAATATTAAAATTGTGACCATTTGCTTGCTTTCATTAACTGTAGGATAAAAACAAATTTTCCAGGTAAAAATTAGCATTATTACAGGATTTGACAATAATGAAGTTTGGATTTAGTTTCTGTTTATGATTGTTTTTATTTTCACCTATCTTCTTTTGCAACGTTATGACAAACACATAATTTCGTGTAACGATTTGCTTTGAGCTACCCTTTATATACTTCAGCAGTGACAATCCATACACCAATAAAAATAAAGATTGTTTTCCTATAAGCCAGTTCTGAATGGCAGTTAATAACTAAAAAAATAGGAGGCTATATAGGAAAAGGAGTAAAAAATGGAGGAAGTTAGTTAAGTTTGATAATGAATTCCCGTAAGGATTGTGTGTCTTTGTCTAAATGTACAAACACACATACACACACATGGACAAAAGCATAGTATATTTATAATAACATGTTCTTTTGCATTTGAATTTCCTTACCTTGATCATTGTATCTAGCCAAATCACTTTGATTGATATAGAGATCATGATCAGTGTCCAATTCCCAGAATTTACAGTAAATAACATAGAAGTGCTCATAAGAAAAATAATCAGTGATTTGATTAATGTCTTCCTCTTCTTCTAAGAGGGCTAGAGTCTGAAAAGATGAGAATGGATTAATTCTACATAAAAAGATGCTACGAAAATACCAGAAACTTGGTATATTTAACAAAAGCCTACATTTTTAGATGATTATGCCGTACTAAATAGAAGAATTCTAATAATCAGTAACAGATTACTAGAATTTTCCTATCTAGTATGTCTAGTTAGATACATACCTCTAGTATTTCCCTCATATTTAAAATAAGCCTATCTTTCCAGAATGCATAACATTTTTATTGCTAATCCAACTGAATTGCAAAATACACTAAATATTTTAATTCATATTGTTCATATGGATGCAAAAAATTAACATACTTGCAGAAAGTTGCTTTTCCTCAGCTCTATTAATGATATTTTTCCAGACCACGATCTATTCACTATGTAAAATATTCTTTGAATAACCTGGAAAAAGATTAAATATACAACTCAAAACCACTGGCAAATTAAAGATAAAATGCATCATCATGACAGTTGTATAGATCTATGTTCTTTTTTTGAGTTTTGTTTAATCAGAAAAATACAAAAGACTCAAAGTTGGAAAGGGCCATCAAGTCATAGAATCACAGGGCTGGAAGACACCTTGGAGATCTTCTAGTCCAGTGATTGCTAACCTTTTTGTTGTCGCGTGCCAAAAATGGGGTGAGCGCGGGAGGTTTGCGGGCGGCTATGCCCACACCCATAATCCAATGCATCCCGCACATGCGCGCGTGACCTCACTCCCCCAACTTTTGGCAAATGATGGAACAGTAGGCCCATTTTTTCACCCTCCCCAGGCTCCAGAGGCTTTCTAGGAGCCTGGGGAGGGCAAAAACTGCCTTCCCGACTCCCCCGGAGGCCCTCCGGAGGCTAGAAATAGCCTATTTCCCGACATCCGGTGGGCCCGGAAGGGCTGAAAAATCAGGTGGCCGGCGCACACATGAGTGTTGGAGCTCAGCTAAGGAAACGCTTGTGTGCCCACAGATACGGCTCCGCATGCCACTTGTGGCACGCGTGCCATAGGTTCACCATCACGGTTCTAGTCCAACTAGCTGTCCAAGCCAGGAGCCCTTATACCATCCCAGACAAATGGTTGTTCAATCTTTTCTTGAAAACCTCCAACAATGGAGCACCCACAATTCTGGCAGTCAAGCTGTTCCATCAATTAATCATTCACACTGTCAGGAAATTATTCCTTATTTCCAGGTTGGATCTCCCTCTAATGCACTTCTACCCCATCACTTCTTGTACTGCCCTCAGGTGCCCTAAAGAATAAACCCACCCCATTTTCCCTGACAGCCCTGTCCAATACTTTGATCAATTTAGGAATCCAAATTAATACAGCTATAACAGGTCTATCCTTCATCTGAATGCACCCAGTGAAGGAAAATCCACAACCTTTCTGAGTTAACTGATTCCATATCAAACCATTAATCAGAATTTATACTACTATGAAGTCCTGCGGGAATAAAACTTTCAAATACGGTCCCATGAAATTCCCTACTAGGCCTGATCCAATCACAGTGACAAAGACAGTCCATCAGTTGTATAGGTTTAGTGATATCAGAACTTTAAAGATAAGAACTGGCTATTTGAGCACTGGCTGAGGAATTCTGGGAGTTGAAGTTCACGTATCTTTAAAGTTGCCAAGGCTGAGAAACACTGCTATATTAATTGCATTCACTAAATTCCTTTCATAAGTAGATTGGAAACGAAAACATGGTAAACTATTTCTATAATGTTGTAAAAAAAAACCTATATGGATATGCAGCCACAAAGAACTATTCATTTTATGAATTGATTATAATTGTGAAGAACTGAGCAAAATGTGTAAAAAAAGAAGCAAACCAGATGTGAAAGATAAGGAAGAATTAAATAGTTGAAACAAATCAATGCCAAATAGCCAACCTGAATTTCTCTTACTTCTGACACTGGTCATGTTTCAATCTCACTACAAATAATGAAACTAATAATGTAGCCAACATACCGTAGTAATGTAGCGGGAATGAAATTCTGGGGCATCCTTTAGAAATGTCAGTCCTGGATGAGTTTCAACTATATCCTGAAATACATCAGAATTATTAAGTACAAAAAAACATCATAACCATAAACTAGCATAGTACCTAAAGGGAGACTAGGGGAAAGTAAAATAAACATTTACCACACGATAAACTATGCTAACTTCCTCTAACTATGAAGAAACAAGAAAAGGAGGGAAGTTGGACTTTCTTTACTTTTTTGTCACACCATGGAATCATAAAATCTTGGCACCGGAAGGCCCCAAACAGGCTATCAAACACAATTCCCTGCAGAATCCAAATGTGCAGAATCATGGACACTGTATCCTGCTTTCAGCTGAATTCATCCGGTGAAGGGGAGCTATCTCAGTAATTGGTAGGAAGCTCTAGGCTGGAATTTAAAGGACTGGTCAAACATACCTGCAGTATTGGGATGAAATCTTCTTGTTCCAGATAGTTACAGTTATGTTTTGCTAAAAGGCAAATGAATTTTGATGCATCATCATGACAGTTGTGTAGAATCCTACAAAGAAGAAGTAAACTGTATAAGAGCATTCCAGTCAATCCAAAGAAGGAAAAACATTCTATGATTTCAGCTTCATTCAGCATTACTCAATCTTGGCACTTTTGAAATATGGACAGATTTGGGGAATTCTAGAACCTAGTGTCTATAAATCCAGAAGGCTCTCAAACTGAGCAAGGCTGCTATAACCTGGCATCTATAATATAGAGCCATAGCTACATGATACATTCAGCAACCTCTGCCTTTAAGTGCAGGGTTACTGTTGTTATTTCGTATATGGCAATAATAATAAGAAAATTTACATAAATAACTAAGGCCATAATAAAGTATAAATCTAGCTATATCTATATCTTTCTAAGTGCATGTATGCACGTATGTCAGCCCCACTATTTAGACCAAACCAAAAAATCAACTCAACACAAATTTGAAACTACTCTTATTAATATTGGCTATAAAAACATATCTTGGAAGTCTGACTGTACTTTCCCCCATCCTTTCCCCCAAATACTATTGTGAATTAGAAAATCTTCTACCTGAGTCTTATGAACATGCCTTCTTATTATTTTGGACTTAAGCCATGTTTTCCCCGTTGCTTTGGTAACAGATCTGGGCTATATCCATCATCTTCCTAACTCCCTACAAAATGTGAATATGTATATGTATGGGCACAAAACTTTGGAGAATCAATAACCATGGATGTATGGGAGAAAATATGGGTTAGAAATGTAAAATTTACTCAAGCCCAAAACCTGAGAGAAAATTTTTATAAAATGTTTTATAGATGGCATTTAGATCCCAAAAAGTTAGCTTGTATGTACCCGAGTTTACAATCTACGTGTTGGAGATGTAAATGTGATGATGCAACGTATTTTCATATATGGTGGACATGTAAGAAAATTAAGGCATTATTGGATTATACAAAATATTTTTAAAAGGAAGGTAAAATTTACTCCACAACTGTTTTTATTGGGTATAACTGTAGACTGTACAGTTATAGAGACTAATCTGATTTTGAACTTAACAATTGCAGCCAGACTTTTGGTGGCACAATATTGGAAGAAGGAACAACTACCTACTATTGAAGAATGGGCATTAAAAGTAGCTAATTTGGCGGAGATGGCTAAAATCTCTGCATATTTGAAGGATCGTTCGAATGAAATATATGTACTGAAATGGAGAAGATGGATTGACTATATACAAAACAAATATGGGACTAAAAAGTTGCAAATAGTTTATGAATGAAATATTTAGATGATTTTTTTTTTTACTTTGATATTTTGGTACCTATGGGGGAGTTAAAGAGTAAGGGGGAGTTAAGAGTTTATAGTTAGTTTGTTTATGTTAGATTATGTTTGTTAAATGCAATACCCTGTATTTTGCTCTGGGAAGTCGGGGGGGGGGAGGGAGGGAGAAGGGAATAGGTGGGGGGAGGAGGGGGGAAATTTGTTTGTAAAACATTTTAAAACTTTTCAATAAAATAAATAAATAAATAAAAGTAAAAAAAAATGTGAATATGTATAGTATGTAGTCTACCCTTTTACATTCCTTTCTTGATTCAGTAAAAAGCTACCACAGGTGGGGAATTGTTAATTGTTTCACAAGTTATGTAATTCAGGACCCACATACACACACACATTCAATCTCATGGGGAAAAAAATAAAAAGAACTGAGCAACTTCTATTGACATAATGCCAGCTGAGGGCTAGTGCTTTATGTGGAATCTTTTTGAATGGTTTTTAAGTGGTATGTAAACAAAGGTGTGTATAAATGGTTTGTAAACATTCAAAAGATGCAGTAAGAAAGAAACAAAGAAACTTTAACATCAGACAATCATGCAGAAAACAATACCTTAATCAAGAACTACCTAAAGAAAAAATACCCCCCATGAACAGTGGCAGGGCAAGCTACTATATATAAACAGGGAGCAAACTCCACACTCACTAGCACTGGCATTGTTACATAGTTGGATAATGAAATATTCATTATCATTTAATTAATTATCCATAATGAAATGTCTGCAAATAAATAAGGTTGAAGAGCACAAACAACACCACAGTTCAACTCTACAATACATATATTCTTTTCTATTGAAGTACTTTATAATTGTACAAAGATTTATTAGAAAGTACATAAATTAACAGAAGATCATGGGAATCAAAATGTATATTTTTGTCTTAAAAATGTCTAATAATATACATGTCAGCTTTGGAAGCCATATTAGGCTGGAAGCTCCAATGCTGCCACCTTCTCATGTGTGGGAAAATAGGAGGGGGGTTAGTAGACATAATAGCATTCTTCCTGTCGGTCAAGGTCAGGGCGATCCCGCATCTGGAGGAGGAGTGGTCAGGGGGCTGGATTGGGATGGAATGGACATTGATTGGAGCATGTGACCGACTTGGTGGAAAAGGGGATGGTTTTGGGAGCTTTGACTTACTGAAGGAAAACCCGAGCTTTTCAGATTCGGGTTTCCCCAGATGCGCCAGTTTGCCTATTCTAGTAAAGAGGACTTTGGAAAATGCTTGCTTCTGCGTCTTTACTTGAAGTGGGTTTTTTTCTGGAACGCTGACAGTATATTTCTTTGATTCAGAAATTAATATGCTGACCTTTAAATTTGGATTTGTCAATGCAATATATAATCAAACAACTTAAAAATGATAAATTATAACACTAACTAAAATCGCTAAAAAATCTTGAAAACACTAGAACAATCATCAAAACAATAAGTTAAAAAAACCATCTAGGAATTTTCTGCTATGGAAGGATAAATCATCTATCAATAATTGTAAATGGTTGCTGTCCAAGGCAGTTGCTAAATGAAGACTACCTGTAAACAGTTATGATTTCTGATATGTTAAAATCTGATTCACTTAAAAAAAGTGAAATCAGTTTTCTTTGCCCTACATGCCCTAGATAGATCAAGTAATATCTCCAGGGAACAAAAACATAGCTTTCTATGTTTGATAGCTCGTCCTTTTCTCCCCTCTAATTTCATGCTGCTTTATCTGAACTACAAGAAAACTAATGTCTTCTTTTGCAGCGAACAGCTTTACAGATGTTACATTTTGTTCTCCCACTGGTGGGAACTTTCATCTCACTATTTCAGAACTATCTCTCATTTACTAATATTACAGCTTCCTCTTAGAACAACCACTCAGATTTGCTCTACATACAGAAAATAGATGTCATAATGTGAATCCAAAACGGAGATAGCAATTTTATTTATTTATTTGCATCCTGCCCTTATAACTCAAGGCAGCAAACATGTCCAACACATCTTCCTCCTTCTTTTTTCCTCACAGAAACAACCCTGTGAGATGAGTTGAGCTGACAGAGAGCGACTGGTCCAAAATCAACCGGCTGGCTTTCATGACTAAGGCAGGGACAATCTCCTAGTACATTAACCACTAGACCAAACTTCTTCCCCTTAATTTGTGAAGTGAGAATAAAGGACATTTTCCCCTTTGAAATGTGCAAAAGTTTGCAGCAAAGTCCTCACTGAATTATATTTTCTTCTACAGGGATTTAGCATTATGAAATCAATAGATGTAAAAGGGGTATCTGTTGACCTTAAACCACTTTCAAGCAGCATGGAGTTGCCCTTAAAGAAGACAGTGCTGGAAAACACTGCTGCTTTCCCAGACAGAGAAAACAACAACGAGATTAGAAACCCATGGGAAGTAGATGTTGAAAGCATAGTAAGGTAGGTGGTGGGTGAAAGGAATGTAGGTCTGGGAGAAGGAGTGGCTGGGTTGGAGAAGGTTGTTGAGAGAGTTGGGGAAAACAGTGCTGAAATGCAGAATCCCAGCAGGAGGATTGAAGAGGAAAGACTGAAGATCCCAATAGGGAAAGTGAACAAATCTCAGCATAAAGGCTGGAGGAAGTGAGGGATGTTTAGGAAATCTCTTCAGAGTAATTTAGGAAATCCTGTTAAATGAAAGCCAGATAAAACAGACTAGGAAGTAGAAAGAAAGAATACCATACACTGATAAATACATACAGAAAAGGAGCATTCTAATTGCATATAATTATCATGGCAACTAGCAGTAGTACCCTGGGCATGCCTTCAAAATTATAAATACCTAGCACACAAATAAGTTGGAGATCCCTGTTTTAAGAGAATATTTTTACACTGTGCTCACTTTCTCCACATGGCCACAAATGAATGTACAGATACAAATCCTGTCTGCTCTCCTCCAGATGCATTGAACATGGGAGCTTTCCAGTACAGGGGACAGCCACATATCTGTAAAAAGCATAAAACAAAATATTGTGAATATCCAGGAAAAGACATTATTTTCCTCAAGCCATTTTATTAAAATATGTTGGAAAATAAAACCCAGGCAAATTATATGCAGTGCATTATATGGTTAGTTGAATCTCACAGACATTATTTAAAAAATGGTTTTATTATTTGAATTATTATTTAAACTTTTAATGAAAATCTTATTAAAAAATCATTTAGAAATCTTTATCTATGGTGAAGATGATAAATCTAGGGATGTTATCCTGTTGTTTCTTGCCCAGAATGTATAGGTCCTTTTACTATGCTACCACCCAAAATTACCTTCTGGTTTTATCTAGAAGATTTTGCTTCCCTGATCATTCACCAGTTCTAACCTAAATCTATGATGTTCAGATTTTTCTTAGTCTAAAATAGAGGATCTTCTAGTGTTTGCTCAATGACCAACACTTCTTGTTCTGATGTGTTCTGATCAGGGGTGAAATGCTCCTGGTTCGGACAGGATCACCTGATCCGGTAGTGATGGAGGCAGGTGGTTCAGAGAACCGGTAGCAAAAATCCCTGCCCCCCCCCATGCCCAGCTGAGCCGCACAATCATCAGAGGCTTTTTTTTTACTTTTAAAAGCATTTTTTCTACAACCTCTTCGGCCAAAAAAATGCTTTTAAAAGTAAAAAAAAAAAAGCCTCTGATGATCGCACAGCTCAGCTGGGATCGTCAAAGGCTTTTAAAAGAAAAAAAGCCTCTGCTGATCAGGCAATTCAGCTTGGATCGTCAGAGGCATTTAAAAGAAAAAAAGCCTCTGCCGATCAGGCAACTCAGCTGGGATCGTCAGAGCCTTTTGAAAGCATTTTTTTATAACCTCTTCGCCGAAGAGGTTGTAGAAAAAATTATTTTAATTTTTTTTAAAAAAAATTGGCCACGCCCACCGTCACATTACCTCACCACCAAGCCACGCCCATAGAACTGGTAGTAACAAATTTTAGATTTCACCACTGGTTCTGATTATTGGATACCAGAATTTGTATTCATTCATGACTTCATGCCATAAACACAAAATTAAAATACGCTTCATCCAAACACTTCCTTATTCTTTAATAATTATTTTACCTATATTATAAAAGAGACTCCAGCTTTGAATAATCCATAAATTCAGAAGATAATTATGCTTACTTTTATAATTTTTCCCATTTCATTATAGGGAACTTTCTTATCTTCAAACTCTGAAAAGGCTGCTTCAACTTTGATAATAATTTCATCCTGATTATTGCAGATATTTGGAAGTCCATAGGGAAAATAGAAAGTAGGAATGTTTATGGACAAAGGAGCACCAAGAGTTTCTTTATTTGTAGACAGTAGAGACTGTGGGGTGATAGTTGAATTTGCAGGCGTTAGAGATTGTGTCACCGGTTTTTTCTCTTGCTTATTTTGTACCTAAATGTTAATAAACAAAATTACTATTTTTATACAATAAAATTTGAACTAAGAATGTACAAAAATAGTCTTTCCAATGAACAAAACAAAGTTATAGTAAAAATAACAACAACAAGTTGTGTGTGTACAGAACAGTCTTATCTCTCAGAAAAGTACAACAGTTTTAAAACATTTGAAATTCTAGGAATAAACTGACAATTCATCCTATATGATTAAATACTTGAGCTGTATATACTACAACTTCTTGTAAACACTGCATTTATTGTACTACTACTGTACATTACATTTTTAAAAAGTTCTTAAAGAAGCATCTAACCAAAGCTCTCCAGGACAGAAATCAAGCATCTAATTTCCAATAATATACCGTAACTAAAAAACAGCCACTGAGTCTTACCAATAAATTCATAAATGTATTTTGCTACCGGAAGTATTTCTTCCTTTTTAGAGCTCCCTGCTACTTATGTCTTTATGGTGTGTTTGGTCCATGCCCTTGTTTCCTTTACTTTTCCACATAAGGGGTAGTGCAAGGGGCTAGTTTTCTTTGACATTTATTTTGAAACATTTTATACTGTTTATACTATTAAATCTTTTTAGCTTTTTTAATTGAATATTATTTGGGAACAACTTCAATCTCCTTAGCCACCTTATTTTAATAGTTAGTGTTTGTTTCCCCATACATTTTAAATGTGGTTCAAAATGTATGTTACTATCAATGTGTGAAATAAGGCATTTTATAGAAATCTATAGAGTGCCAGAAATGGGACGTCAAAGTGTGAAATACTTAATATTTGTTAGGCATTTATGCAATGGCAAAAGGCAAACCAGAAAAGTATGAAAGACTCCTGCAAAAAGACAATTCTAGCCTTCCTTGTTGCAGCAAGTAGGTCAATGCTGTTTTTTTTTCTCTTATATTTTTCAGTAAGAAAGTCCTGTATTGTATTTTGCATTTTTTCATTTTCATATACATCTTTTCAATAAAGAGTCAGAATTAGGGGACTAACCTTTACCTTAACTTTAACCCTTTTCATGACTCTCTTTTCATACTTTACCTAAATAGTTCTTATCATTCTGCACAATGCTTAGGTATTATATATAATGCCTAGTGAAAGTATATAGCATATTAAAATAATACAGACATTTCACATTTTGCCTAAAAATGTCACACATTTAATGGATTTCTTACACATTCTATATAATGCCAATTTGTCACACATTGCTGGTAACATACATAATACATGGAAATGCTCAGGACCATTTCTTTTTTTAAAAAACGAACAGAAGTCAATTTGTTACCATGTTCTACTAATAATATTTACTTATTTTAATATTTTCACCTTCAAGAAGAAAATACCAAAAGGAAAAATACCTGTTTCCTTTTATTTACCAACAGGTATTTATGTACTAAGCTTGGAAGACCTATTTTTAAACCAATAGGTATCTGGTGCAAATAACCTTCTGAAAATAGAGAAGCCTAAGCGAAGAAACCATTTCAACTACTCATCTAAAACAGAGATAACAAATTTCTTTACAAGAAAAAGTAAAGCACATTCAAACCTGGGCTTGCTGGAATGACTTCAACCTCTTCTTGAACCGGGATGGAAGAACAAAATCACAGCCTTTTGCAAGGAAAGCTAACTCTCCTCGTAAATCAGGGTCCCTTCGCAGAGATCTATCCTTGATCATCATTTTTGTTACTTCCTCAGAAAATTGTTCTTCCCAGCAAAGATGTAAAGTCCTTTTCAGGTATCACTTCAACTATATTCTTGATTTGTTTGTGTGAGAGGGGGCAGGAGTTCAAGAAGTTCTAAGTGAAACATACCTTGTCTTTTTATTCTCAGAAAGAATTGCCTATATCTCATCCCAAGGCCAGTGGACTCCCTTTTTTGATATTCAAAGAATCCCTGAGCACAAATGCCCTTTACCAATTATTTACCAATTATTTATCAAGAAGTATAATCTACACAGAATCTGTCCCTGCTGGCTACATGACAGTGAGACAAGCTGTCCTTGGCTGGTAACAGAGCAGAGGTATTGTGGGAAGGGAGGCATCTACCACACTACTAGCAGTGGTGCTAAAGTTAGATTTATTGCAGAGGTAGCTAAATATATCACCTTCCAAGATACGTATTTTATGATGTTCCATGGTGAAATTTTAGGTGCAAATTTAGCTATCAATCTCAACTGAAATCAAAACCATAATCTATAGATGCCACCATAAGAGCACAGATATTTCTGATTAGAATATAATATAAAAAGGTTGAAGTCTCTTTTAGTTTTTATTTTTCATGTGGTTAAAAAAATAAAGCTTCTTACTGTCCAAAAGAGATATAATTATTATAGGGTAACTATCATGCTGTTAAATATTTTCCTTACATGTTTGGAGATAAGACAACAACACTTTAAAGTAGACCTCTTTCCTAGGATCAGAGCTTTTAAAAAATGTGCTTTTTAAATTAAATTAAGAATGGAGCTACCAAAATTGGTACAGTACTTGAAACCCAGAGAATGTATTTAATTTCATGTAGGAACAAAAAAGACCTGATTATGCAAATTGTCATCCTTGGTATCCTAAATATAAATAAAATCTTGATTTAACAGACATATCGGAGGGAGAGGTAGACATATTTGGGCTTTGGGGAAAAATATTAAAACTGATTTCAGTTCTCATGAAAAACAGGCATCTTGGAACAATTATCATTTAAAAATGGCAGGAATCCTCCTCCTCCTCTTTTTTTTTTTTTTTTTGAAAACTTGGATTGAAAATGGGATAATTAATAAATATTTCAACCAACTATTATGTAAAAATGGAAAATGAATATAAGCACTTTTATTCTTAAAGTGTCATTCAAATCACTAACAGCAGGTTTACCTGTGCTTTTATTTTATTTTTAAATTTATTTTAAAATTATTTAAAGCACTGACTCAAATGGGATTATAAAATACCGTTGTGGTTGGATCTTGGCCATATCATACGGAATATAAATATAAAGTCACTCAGGGGATTTTTATACAAAGAAGTACTTTTTAATGATGGGGGCAAATGGCAATTGAAGTCATTAAACACACTGTTGGAAGAAGGGATTAATCTAACTTGGTTACAGTATAATCAGCTTCAACTGAGATGGAGAGAAGATCAAAAAACTGATCTAATGTTGCATGAAGAAGAATTGGTTAGACAGATAAAAGATAGAGGCCCAATGCATATCAAGAGGGTTTATAATGTTTTGTTAGAAAGAGATTCAGAAAATGAATTGGTTAAAGATTGTATGATAAAATGGGCGCAAAATTTTGGAGGACCAGTTATGATGGAAATGTGGGAAAAAATACGGGTTCAGAATGTTAAATTCACACAGTCGCAGAATTTGAGGGAAAATTTTTATAAAATGTTTTATAGGTGGCATTTAGATCCTAAGAAATTGTCATGCATGTATCCTAATGTTCAACCAAAATGCTGGAGATGTGATTGCTTAGATGCTACATATTATCATATATGGTAGACATGCAAGAAAACTAAGGCTTTCTGGATAAAAATTTGGTGGGTTATGCAAAATGTTTTGAAGAAAAAAAATCAATTTTCTCCTCAATTGTTTTTATTGGGTATAGTTAAGGGCTTTTCAATGGGTGAAACAAAATTGATATTGTACATGGTGACAGCAGCTAGGTTATTGATTGGTCAATATTGGAAAAGGGATGATATGCCTACAATTCAAGAATGGACTTTGAAGATGGCCAGTTTTGCAGAAATGGCGAAGATATCAGCATATTTAAAAGACCGGACTCAGGAGACTTATGTATGGGAATGGAAGAAATGGATAGAATATGTGCAGCATAAATATCAAACTAGGAAGTACCAGATAGCTTTTAGCTGAATGTTGTGTAGAAATGTATAGTATATAGGGGGCAATATAGCTTATTGTTATGTAGAAATGTATGGTGCACAGGGGGGAGAATAGAGGGGTGGTAAAGTATGTTATAATACAATGTGGACGGATTTCACCTTGGGGAAGTCATTGGAGGAGGGGAGGGTTGGGGGGGGTTAGGGAGGGATGGGGGGGAAATGGGGAAAAATTGGTATTTGTAAAACTTTTTCAATAAAAAGAAAATTATTTAAAATTTATTTAAATGTATTGGCCTCTCAACAATGAATTCTGGGTGATTTCCACACATGACAAGCTATTTTTGTATTGTGCATAAAAAAGTTTGGACTGGTGTCCAAACTATAAATCTACTATAAAGAATGAAAAATTCAATGATATATAAATAATTTTCTGTGTTACAGTATTTCCACAGAGCAGTATTTTTATATGAATGGGGTCAATTGTTAAGTGAAAGAAGAAATCACGAACTCTTACCTTGATAACCTCTGGCATCTGTTGAATTAATGGTGAGGCAGGTTTTTTCTTCAGTGTATCTATGCAGCTCTGCTTGTCAACTGTGATGGAAGGCGTGGCTAAAGTTTCCTGAAGAATATGCATCACTTCTTTCTCTTTTGATAAGCTTCCTTTGCCCAATTGGAATTCTACTAGTTCTTGGGCAAAGTCTTCAATACTCTCCAAAATACGCAATAAAAGTGTTTTGTCATCTTCATCCATTTTATGACCATTGATTTCTACAAGTTTTGATAAGGAAGAAGGCACGCTTTTGTCTTCAGGAAAACAATCTTTGCCTTTGTCTTCACTGGTTAAACCACTGCTTTTCAAATATCTAGAATCACTCTGCTCCACAGTAGTTTCTCTCAGTGTAATTTCCATTTTTTGTGAAAAATTCTCTAAATCCAACAAAAGTTTATCTATCTCTTCTTGATTGTTTTTTCTGAGCTCTTCTTTAGAGACCTGACCATTATAGTTAAAAGCTTGATCAATGGAATCAGCTGAAATGGAGAGGTCACCCTTTGATAGAGGCTGTGCAACAGTATGTGAAGTTTTAGAAAGTTCTAAAGAAGGATTTAGCCATTCAGCTCGCTCTTGGCTGCTCTCTGAATCTCCCCTTATTGTCCTACTCTGAACATTTGATGCACTTCCCCTTACTTTTTCCCCATCTGATTCTTCTACAATATATAGAGATTCTGTGGAAAAAACACTGTTTGATGGATTTAGAAATTGTAACTGAGGTAGTACATGACAATCATTTCTAGAATCTATATTGTTCTGCAATGCATTTGAGGAAATATCTACACTGGGGATTTGGATAAGATTGGTTGAGGAATTTGTATTATTATTATCCTGAATTCTTTTTAAGTTAGAGGGAAATGCCTGCTTTGCCACAGATGATGCAGAAGTTACAACATCTTCATATCTTGGTGGTTGCTCATTGCCAAATATTGGGGAGAAATGAGATTGCTCCAAAGCAGACAAACTATTAATCAGTTCTACCATGTCACCAGGGTGTCTAAATTCAAAAGGCAACTGTTTAAGGTAAGAAGAAAATCTTGTCATTAAATTCATATAGATTATTTCAGAATTGGCCAAGGACTCACTATTATTTCCGCTATTGGCATTTCCTGAAGATTTCTTCTTAATGCATTGCTTTATTATATCTGTACACTTCTTCAAGTCCTCTGAGCATTTTAGCAAGATATCTAAGCACATCTTAATATCTCCACTGGAAGAACCATCCAGTTTGTGCTTTTCCAAAATTTGTGTTATAAAATTGCCATCAGGAAAAGTTTCTATAGGCAAAGGAACTACAGAACTCCCACTTTCTTTAACAGAAGGGCTGCTGACATGCCATTTTTCTTCATGGGAACAATTATTTAGAACACCATTAGGAGGGGACAAAATTTCATCACTGCTGAAATGTCCACTAATCAAGTCAAAATCTAGTGATCTTCTATTGAATTGGTCTGATTTAACTTTTCTTCCTTTTCTATAGTTTGCCTGATTTGAAGAATTTCTCAGTTTTTCAAATGAGAATTCTTTTATTTTTCCACTAGCAAGATTTATGGCTTCTTCAGTGATATCTTTCAGATTTGCACTGCTTTGAACAGAAGATCCTTTTTTGAGTTTTGGATTACTAGGAAGGAGCTGATTATAATCTTCATCCCCAGGCAAAGCAATTGAATTTTCAGGCATTGAAAATCTGTGGGTCAAATCTGAATTTCTAAAATTAGGTGTAGAAACTTTAAGTAGCTTTGGACAAACACTGTGGTGGGCCACTATGCACATAATTCCTTGTTTGAATACTTGACATGTCCCTGTGCAATAATGCACAACATTTTGAAGTTGATTATCTATTATAGCACTGCTGTAACAATTCACTGTTGTTATTACTCTTTTATAGTTTGCTGCCATAATATGAATTTTAAGTTGTTGCACTCTGAAATGGCTTAAGAGAGCAATCACTTTACCCCCCTTTAAATCTCATATTGGTACATCATAAGCACTGAGGTGGTTGTGTTAAAAATGTAGCAAAACCAATGCATTGTCAAGAATCTGTATTAAAAGATTGCAGACAATAATCTATAAAAAATTAAAATGACCCGCATAATGTATAATTGTCTTTTAGATAATAGTAAATATTCCCAGACTAAAAATGTGGTAGTGATGAACAATTGTTCTCTTCTCTCAATAGCAATGTTAGAAGTAAAAATGAAAAATGTTAATCCACTTGTTGAGAAAATTAGGAAAAAACTTTCTCTTGAATGTTTTGTGCAAACTTCCTCTGAACTTCAGATTTCATGGAGAAAATAAAAGCATGTAATGTGGTCAAATGATCCACCTCCTTCATTGGTGTGGAAGATGCCTGCAATAACAAATGTTGTTAGTAAACAGATTTCAAGCCTAACTTTAGATACTGCTACTAACTTTAGATAAGCATTGCAGGAGAAGGAGTAGCAGAACCTGGGGACAGAGTCAAAATTGCTGAGCACATTGTAAGCCGCCCTGAGTCTTCGGAGAAGGGCGGCATATAAATCAAATCAAAAAAAAAAAAAAAGGAATTAGCCTAGAATCTCTACCTAGGCACAAATATATCAAATCCAACCCTGCTTGAATTCTGTTGACCCTTATCTACTGCCAAGATAATGCTATCAATTTATATCATTAATGGGAGAAATACATGTTTAAGAAATCTTCCATGTACTAAGTATATGGAAAAAATATTCAAAAAAATATATTTTCTTTCTAATACAAATTGAAAACTACACTACTTGCTAATGCTATCTGCTCTCCAATCAGATAACTTATGCAAAGGCAACAGATAATAACCATTAAACCATGTGGGTTACAAATAAAATAAATAGTAGATAAAACAAATTAATCAAATATACTTAAATTAGTTCAATAGCTAATGGCTATTGCTATTAAGCACATAAGAGTTGAATTAATTTTAGTTTGTTCACTAGATGAAGACATGAAAATTACTCTTGTCTAAGATCCAGATTTCATTTCCCAGTCATGACCACTATTACTACCAACATCTACAGACAACCTGCTGCCTCAATGATTCAAGGGGTAGAGAGATTAATGTCTTGCTACTTCTCACCTTTTTAAGATGGAGGCTGCAATGGCCTCTGAGCTCTTCTGAGCAGAGAAGGCAGACTGCTCCACTCACCTTATAACCAAAGGTATAGTCCCTTTCTGCCTAGAAAGCAACAAAAGAAGCTATCATTTCAGCTTCCTTCTGTACATAGAAACTATAACTGCCTTTTGTCTGCAAATAGAGAACAATTGTTCCCCAAGTTTCACTGTAGAAAGATAAAAATAAGGGGTGAGGTTTTGGGGAGAGGGAAGTATCTCATTTGAGGCACCAGACACTTCCCATAAGACTTACACATTTATTTAAGCATATATACAGACAGCCAAGACAGGAAACAGATGTCCTATAACTGCCCAGAATATCTGTAATTCTATAATTCTTTTCTCTCTAGAATATCAGATTACACTTCTAAATGCTATACTGGATTTCATATTTTCATAGATGACATTAGAATAAATCATTTAATTTAGCTTTTTCCCTAGGCTGCACTGACTAATGCAAATATCAACTTTAATCCACAGTATACTGATAAAAAATATTGCCAGAAAAACTTACCCAGCAATTTCATCAAGCTATCGGGCTGTTTTACAGATGGGAATACTAGTAATATTTCAGATCACATCTCAGTTTGAAAACTGCAGAAGGTAATAACATTGTAGTAGCAGTAAATGCTCAAGATTATCAGTGAGGTATATTTATCTGCTGATAATCTCTCACTCAGTGAAGAAGTGTACATACAACACTTTCACTTTAAACCTGCTTTCACAAAAGCCACTATCATTAGGACTTTCGCTGATAACTGCTTAGAGCAGTCTTCGTCAAAGTTTTTACCTTAAAGGATCCCTTGAAATAATTTTCAGATTTCAAGGAACCTGTGAATAAAAAAATCACAAAAATTTCACACCATAATTCACTTCTAATTTATACAATCCATATTTTATACAACAACAGCAAACTGACAGGCCAGTAACTGACTTGAAGCATGTAAAAATTCACACCGCTGCAAACACTGGCATTGCATGGCCTGCAAAGTTCGAAAACTGATGTTGATTTGTTTTAATAAAGACCTTTCTCAGAAACCTCTTGCAGAACCTTAGAGTTTTGTGGAGCCCCAGTTGAGAGAGGCTGATAGCCTTTATAAGGCAAGGTATACTGTATTGTGCAATTATGATTTTAAATAAATGAGCCATCATAATACGTTATTGAACATATACTTTATTGATCTAAAAATCTTCAGCATCAGAACGACATCTCCTTTTTCTTTACTCTTACCATGCCTATTACTTGCTAATTTAAGGTAAAGTTCATACTCCTATTAATTTTATAAGATTCAAGCATTAAGATTATTTGTTTTATTAATATTCTGCCTTTATTATTTTTACAAGTATTTTATAAAGCAAGTCAAGTTCCTCCTTCGACTTTCCACACAACAACCCTGTAAGGTGAGGTGAGGTGAGAGAGAGTGACTGGCCTGAAGTCATACAGCTGGCTTTCATGATAAGTCAGAACTTGAACTCATAGTCTTCTGGTTTCTAGCCTGCCAATTAAACACATTATTCTAATAATAGAGGAATGTTAATCTTAAATTGTAATTTATAGATTTTATTCTAATTTATTTCCAAGAATCTGGTTATGTAAACTTTTTTCTTTTTACAGATAAAGAACTTAAAGTTAATAAATAGCTTGGCCAAGTATCTAAATAGCTGTACAACTTGAACTTTCTCTCCAAGATCCAGATCTGATTTACTGTGCCATAAAAGTATGTGCTTACAGTGTTCTAACGTATTTTTAGAATTTAGATTATCTTTATCCGATAGACTTCATGCATTAGGTCCTTTTTTATCTCATTTCTCACTATTCACGCGTAAGATGTATTCTTGCCCATTCGAATAATCTGTTAAGTAGTAGTTGCACACATTTTTAGAAAAGCAACCTTAATGTCATCATGTTTATTTTGAAAGAAAAGCAGCCGATCAGCAGCTGTTGCTGGTAAGGCGACTTGATTAAACACAAACAATAAATAGTAACATATCCTGTCTCTACAATGCCACCAGATACTGAAAAGCAGCAAAGGGAACACTGAGCTCTGCTGTTTGGGTACAGCAAGCAAATTTGCAGCTGCTATTTTCTCCTTGTACTCATTTTCTGGAGACGGATAGGACGACTGTGCTCACAGATGAATCATCTGCAATTTCATTCATTTTCTCTTTCTCCCTGAACCTTGGATCCCTACCTCTAAAAGTGCTATCATAGCCATGAAACCATTTTCAGGGTTCTGACACTTTCTTCTTTCTGCAAATGAAAGGACAACGTTGTTGACCTTCTTTTATGTTATAGTTATGAAGGACTAGTTAATATGACCATATAGAATCTCCTTCTGTTCTAAATCTTGCCTTAAAGCCTTGACTTTAACTTTTCAGTAAGTTCTCTAGGGCAATGTTTCCTAAAGTCTAGCAAGGATCAGCAGATTGTTTCAACTGCATTGTGATTCATTGGCCTAAAAATGAAGCTGAGATGACTAGAGATTTCCATCCAAAAGGAAGGGAAATGGTATATAACAACAACAGCAAAAGCTAGCACAGATTCTCTACGGCTTGATCAAATATATCTAGTTAAGAGCTGTTTATTACTGAATTGGCTGGTTTATACTACATTATAAACCCCGAGTTACAAACAACACTAGCTGGGTTCTAACATCCTACATTTCTGGGAATTATGTCAAAGGGATCTTGGATAACCATTGGTACCACACTTCCAAACTTCTTGGATAACAGATCCTTTGCTTGCAGCACTGCCCAAACAGAATTGTCAACTAGGGAGATCAAAATGATTCCTTGTATTTTGTCTTTAAGTAACACCTGGATTCAGCAAAGCTATCTAGAAGAATTCTAGCAGAAGCAGCTAACATCTACATGATCCTATATTATTATTTTCAGTGCATTTGACTGTCCTTGTCTCTATGATCTCCCCACCCAACACACACACACACTTCTGTATTGTATCCTGCACAGCACCTAGCACTTCTCTATGTCACTCAGGTTCCTTACACAAAGTACATAATAGCACCCGAGGCCTGACAACCAAGTAACAGTGAAAAGTAAAAAGGCCTGGAAACCAACTATTCCAGCAAAACAATTCAACTGGTTCTGACAAGAGGATTTGCATCATTTACTGTATTCAAATCACAGGGACAGTTTGTTCAAAATAGCCCAGTAGCAGCAATGTGGGCTTCTGTTCTTTCTTTTTTCTCTCCGGAGGTTGGCACTCCACTTTTGCCTACCTTTCCGAACAGGATTTGCCCATTTCGTAACTTTGGCGACTGCAGTGATTACCTACACAACGCTCTATTGAAATTGCGACTGACGTCGAAAACGATTTCCAGAGCTCAGAAATCGTTCGGGCGTGGGACTAGTCAATTTCTTTTCCCTTACCCCTTCTCTGCAAGTTAAAAGTACTTATCTGTTCTCTTCCTGACCCTCTACTGTCACCCGTTCAGCTGAGGCCGTATGTCTCCAGTTTTCCCAAGAGCTACTCGAAATGCTGGAAATCTCCGAACTGTCTCTATTTTTTCGTCCCCGGCCGCTCCCTCTTTTCCCTTCCAGCTTTCTCCGCGCTCCGGGCCGCCCGTCCGCCCGCCCGCCAACGCCAATCCGATCCAACGCAAACCCAGCACAGTTCTAGCCAGATTCCGGACAAGAAAGGAGAGTTGGCTTTTTGGGCGCCACTTTCCTCCTGATATTTGAGAGCAACAATTACTACCCAACAGGGGACGCTGGTACTAGAGATAGCCGTGGCAGGAGCTTTCGCACCTACCCGCCGCCGAGGCGATTCCCTCGCCCATTCTAAGGCTCTCTTCAGCTTCGACCCTCCTCCTTCCTCCACCCTCTGGCCGCGAGAGGCTCGGCTTCTTTTCCCGTCCCTTCCGCACTACGAAAGGGGCGCCCACAGAGCGCACTTCAGTGGAAATGGGGAGGGGAGGAGGCGGTGGTATTTCTCTGCCAAGAGGGCCGAGACTCATTTGAGCGCCAGCCCCCGCGGCTCCCGCCTGAGATTGTTTTTCTGCGTCCCGTCAACAGAAGCCCAAGTCTGATCTTTGCTTGTCCTGCCTGGGAACAGCCACAGACAATCGCCTCTGAGGGTCCTGGGATTTAGGCAGGGAATTCTTGTGAAGTTCGGTTTGAGGAGGTGGTTTTAAAACAAAAGACCAACGCCCCTCGACATTAACAGAAACGTTGATCTCATCTTTGGCCTTGCTATTTTGCAGTGGAAAATATTAAACGTTCTTGAAAGATTAAGAAACCAGAAAGGAAAAAGAAAATAATGTCTTTATTCTCCACTTTTAAACCACATGATTGTGGTGCATTGAGCCAAGATTATGGAACCCTTAGGTCTGGCATTTCTGAAATGCCAGCTGCAGTTTCCTGTCTCTGATTCCAAAGCTCCAGGGCTCTTCCCTTACAAAGTCCTTATGTCTCACTCTCTTTGGCTCATAGTTACTTCTACCGCACCCATGTTGTGCATTCATCAGCTTCATCCCCACAGGCTGAAGTTGGCTCCTAGTTCTTTATTCCATTCAACAAAGCTATACACTAAGTTGAATAAAGAATGTGAATAATAGTATATGCAAAAATAAAATTTGGACTGGTCCATGTAATACATCCAGGCTGTCTTTTGGAGATTCCCTTATAACATGTCCGGCTAGTTTTATCAAAAGCTCTCAAGTAAATTGCTAGGATGAATCCAATTATTCAGGTTTTTGAGGTACAGGTATTTAACAGCCCCAAAATTTAAAACCACCATAAGACCATATCACGGTTTCCTTCGACTGTTAGAAGCAAAGAAACTATGTCAGGGAGAAAAACATGTAACTCAGGAACTCTTCCGTTTCATCCACTATTTTCTATTAACTGAGGACCTTTCACTGCTAAATGAAAGTGCTATTCATACATCTTTGAATTTATTATTCTTTGAATCTACAGAATAATAGATTATTCTGCTTCTATTGCCTCTTTCTCACTATTGAATAGTGCTGTCCCGATTCTGCATGTCCAGCAAATGACAGTGAGTGGTTGGTTCCTCCTGTTTGCTATCCTTTATCTTTTGTATCCAGCTCTTTAGGGATATGAACAGAATGACAACAGTTGGGCTAATGTGGGATTTCTGTCGTCAACCCATTTTCCCAAAAAAATCCAGTACAAATTGTTTTCCAGATATATCTGGAGAGGGGTAGCATATAAATTAATTAATTAATTAAATAATTAAATAAATAAATAAATAAATAAATAAATAAAGCAAATACATTCCCCAATAACCATCAATCTTAAGAGAGTCCAGTTCATCACTTGTTGATTCTGTTCTCCAGATCTGTAGAATTAGTATCTCCTTCAGCCTTCGCCAATGAGAAGCAGTTTCCAAACTTCAATTCCTTCTCCTTTAAATCAGCCAACAGCAATTTAGATTCCAATCCATCCAGTTGTGAGATTGATTTGGCTACAGTTGCCTGAATATTTAAAACTCTTGTTATTTAATCAATTTTTCAATTTGAACTTGTAGGTTAAAAACCATTCCCACCCCCCAAGGCTTCCCAGATGGCTTTATCTTTAAGTTAGTACACAGTTTCCATTTTTAAGATAATCCTGTAACTGGGCATTCACAACCAGACATAAACAGTTCCTTTCCAGAACAGGGGAGTTACCGACTTCCATATGGAGAAATATAGTATCTCATATACAGTATGTCCTTTTATATATCACTTACTTACCATCTGTAGGAATGAAATTTTCTTTATTGTGTCACATTGTGCCTCTTAGTGTTTAACTGATTGTAGAGACCATGTCTTGAGAAGAGGCAGTAAATCCAAGCATACACACTGCTGTATTTCTATATCTCTTTATCTGGAGCAAAGTATAGGATTAACGTAGCTTGTCAGAATAAGAATCAGAGCCTTGGCAGAACTCATATATTAAGGCTACTGTGTAGCCTTTCAAGGGATATGTGTATATTTTCATACCTTGAAGGATACCACTCTGCCCCCTAGAGTTATCTTGTTTCCTTATCAGTTATAAAGCAATTACCTCTATTAATGTTCACATGTTCAAACTGTCTTTGATCAACAGTCTATATAAGAGCTTGGATGGAGGTGATGCAATCATTCTGGTATTCCTTCATTTCTCACTGGCTTTTGATACCATACACCACAATATTCTTCGGGACTGGTTGGGAGTGGAAGCCACTGTGTTGTACTGTTTCACTTCCTTCCTCAGCATTTGATTTCAATTGATGTTGATAGGGGAGGGGAGAAGTTGTGCCTGTGGTCCCTTGTTTGTGGGGTGTGTCAGGAGTTGACACTCCCCTTTCCAGTTTAATATCTATATGAAACTGATGGCTAAGGGTTTTGGTATCATCAGCATATTAATGATATCAGGCTTTATAGTCCATACCCAGGCTGTGATATTAATCAGTGACTGTTCAGGTCTGGATGGGGGAGAACAGACTTCAGCTCAATCCTTTCCAAGCTGAGTGGCTGTGGTGGTTTTCAAAGAGCAAGTGTCAGCTGTGATCAAGAAGGACTTTACATAATAATTTTGTTGCATCCTTTTCTGGACCAGGAAGCCCTTCAGACAGTTTCTCAGATTCTGATCACCTTACAATTGGATCACTGCAATGTGGTCTACATGGGGCTTGAAGGCCATCCAGAAGTTACAGCTGGTACAAAATGCAGTTGCACAATTGGTAACGAGTACCTCTCAGTATACTCATGTGACACCACTGAGCTGTAACTTAGTTGCTAGACAGATTTCAGGTGCAATTCAAGGTGTTGGTCATTACCTATAAGGCCCTTATGGCATAGATACCCGACAGCCTACCTCTTTCCAACTGTTGTCTGTTGGTACATTCCATCAAAGAATATACCTAGAGTGGGTATATTCTAGATTTCTTCTATTAAATATTGTCATCCTATGCAGGGCCGGATTTTCCTATAGGCTAACTAGGCTTCAGCCTAGGGCCTCAAGATCAAGAGGGGCCTACATTCAAATTGTTAGCAAAATTAAAATTACACTTTCACTATAGGTGAAAGGGCCTCATAAGTGGAATAGCCTAGGGCCTCTTTTCATCTAAATCCGGCCCTGATCCTATGGGACTTTTGTTGCCATGTATTTGACAGCAATGAATACCAGTAATGGACAATCCTGAATAGGATATGTACCTCACACAGCATCTGTCAGAACTCACTGTATAAATGGGGCATCCTCCTCTCAGCGTGACTATGGAGTCCGTTAAACTATAGATCACATTGTGACTGACTGTAAGCTGAGGGCATATACTGGTCCAGTAGCTGATTTGTTCATATAATGTTGCATGTCAATGTTTAGATATCCTAGATCACGGATGTCAAACTTGTGGTGTCACATTCCTGTCACGTGACATATGTTTTTTCCTTTCGTGGAATTGGGGTGGGTGTGGCCTGCACGTGATGCATCCGGCCTGCGGGCCTCCAGTTTGGCACACACATACATACACTGCAAGTCCATACTCTAAATAAATAAGTAAAGTGTGTCTTCTCTATCATGGTCCCTCTGGAACAGCATCCCCAGAGATATGGACATTCCTAGGATTCTAAAAAGTAGTTGAAAACTGGCTTTGCTCTCAGACCTTCAGTTGATATATTTGTATGGCCTTTATTTGGTTTAATTTATTACTGTTTATTGTTTTAGTCTGAACTGCTTGTGGGCTTGTATGTTTTAAACTGTTTTTATTATTTTGTATTTGTAAGCTAATCAGATTGTGGGAGTGGGAAGCTATAATAAATTAATACTTTTGTAATTTTGTATTCTTGCTCCCAAGACATTTGGATACAGCACACTAGTATAGCCTCACAGCTTTGGAAAATAAAACAATTGTTTAAACGTGTCCTGCAAACAACACATCAGAGCACCACCATTTATCACAAGCCAGAGATCAGCACATGGGACAACTATAGGGAGCCACAAATATTATTTTGAAGAATCTATCTATAGATAATTATAACATATACAAAAAAATGTTAAGAAACAGGATGTCAAGAGACTTACTCCTTCCTGTCTCTCTAGGTATAAGAGGGAGAAAAGGAAAAATGCAGCCAGACTTGCACAATTCTGTTACAACAGAGGAACTCAATAAAATATTGTTCTAGTCATCTTCTGGAGTCTGTTTCCTTGATCTATCAACATTGAAGGGCTAATAACAGCACATTTTATGGTGGTATAGTTTTCTGATTAGGATGAGAGTAGAGCGCTGGAGAAAGCCCTTAATTTGTAAAGGTTTCTAGTGTAGTGTATTGAACAACCACTGCCATTGTGGGGCATTCTCTTACTGCTGTTTTGAGCACATATTTAGAAAATGGGGTTTGATACTTTCAGCCTTCTATTCCTGTGTTCCATCCCACTGCAATGCTAAACTTTGTTTCTAAATACTTTAACATAATTACACATCCGTGATGTGCAATTTTTCCTCATTCGCGTTAGAAGCGTTATGCCTCTAAAACATAATTGTCAATAGATGGCGTAACAACACTAAGCACTCGAATTCCTTATCTGTTTCTCCCGTTCACTTTGCCAAGGACAAATTCTGACAGGTGGTTTTACCGTTACGCATGCGCACGCCGCCCCCCCACCCTTCATTGGCTCAACGCCCAAACATCCGAAAGTCGAGTTGGCGCATCCCGTTTCACGTTTCTTTTCATTCTGATGTTCTATAAACAGGTGGGAGTAAA